GTCACAAATGCAATTGTGATGAAAAATTTAGTCATTAATTATTAAAATTAGTATTAAATAAAAAAATATATTTATATAATTACAACACAAATATTGTAACAAAAATTTTGTCACAAAAAAATAATATAAAAATTTATCACAAAAGTTTAATAAAAAATATTGTTATTTCAATACTAATCAATTTTGATTAAGATTAATCAAGTTCGATTAAAATTAATCAGACCCAAACTAATCTCAAGTTTTATTGAGTTTCACATGTTTTATAGTGCAAAAATTTTTTTTCTTAAATATTTCTCATCGATGTGGAATATATTTATAGTGTAAAATCTTATTCTCTTATGTATTTTTTTATTGATGTGAGATGCATTGATTAGAGAAAATTGACAATTTTTAGTGACAAAATATATTTTTAGTGATGAATTATTTGGTCATAATTGAATGTGTAAAGTATATGTGATCAATATTAGAATTTTGTCATAATTATATGCATTATAGTGACAATTTTTATTGATAAAAACTTATTTTATCTCTATGAACATTTTTCAGTGACGAAATATATTTTTTGTGATGAATTTTTTTCTTTATTATTAAATATATATGCATTTGTGATTAATTTTTTAGATTTGTTACAATTATGATAAATTATAGTGTTACAATTATGATAAATTATAGTGATAATTTCAAAATTCATTACAAATTTCTATTACTAAAATCATTTTTCTTAGTGTGGATGTCCAATTTAAACATGCAATCTCGTTTGAAGGAGGTGAGCTTGCAGATGTGCAGCTGTTGGATCTGTAACGGAGAGTCTCTTTCTCTTTCTGTGAAAAGTTGAAAACCCAACTTTACTCGGAGAAGATTCCCCTTGCATGTTCATTGGAACAGCTGTGCTGGAAGAGCCTGCGCCTGCCTCTGGGACCGAGATAAAGACATCTTCTGTTTTGCTCGTCTCCGGCACCATGCCTTCTGCCTTTTCCATCAAGGCTTCGCTTTTGCTCGCCAATACCTAAGCCACCCTTCATTTTAATTAATCAAATACAGATCAATGCATGCATTTGTCTAAATGGAAAGCTGAAATTCTTACCATATCATAAGAAAAATAAGTTACTTTTCGAGTGAATTTTTGCAGTAGGAAGCTAGAGAAAACAAAAATTAATATCAAGTTTTTTAAGGAGATTGAGGAATACAAACACATAAATATAAATATACGTACACACACTTACTTTTCTGCTCTGTTCTGTTTGCGTTGCAAGAAGGTGATCATATAGGGAAAATAATAAAATTTTAAATCTTCTAGTTCTATCTAGCAATTTATTCTTCTGGAGTTTTATGCTATGACTACTGCAGAGAAGAAACGCTAATAAGAAAGAGAAGAAGCTGAATCCCATATAAATATAGAAGTTGTTAGTGTTATTTTTTTATTTTTTTGGTACGTATAGAAGTTG